GTCCCTGGGGCCTTGGCTGCTCACAGGACTCAGGTTTTTCCTATTCTTTCAGTTATCTCCTTTCACCCAGAGCTCAGTCTCTGACTTCATGAATGTATCTGGATGACTGGACAAACTCATGAATCTCTGATCCTTAGTCTCCTTAACTGTACTGTGTACATAATATTACCATTTCATACTTTTTTTGGAAAATGAAATTGTGAGTGGTGAAAGTGCAAATAGTACTCATGGTATTTTTCTACCTATATATACAGGTAGATGAAAGACTAAAAAGAAATACAATAGATGTGTTAATACATATACATACATGTTATATATATTTTCATGTCGAATTTTCTTTCTACACATTTTCTTCTAAGTATTTTTCAGACTCATTATTAATAACGTTGCCTTTTTATTGTTTTAGATAGTTGCATAATATTCTAACATCTGGTTGTACTGTAAGTACACCTAACCATTTCCACATTGTGGGCCATTTTGTTTATTTTCACTTTTTCATCAAGGAGAGTTCTGAGGTCAACTCAGTCTGACTTTTTTCTTTTTAATCTTTTACAAACAATGTGTTTCTTATTACTTTTGCTTTGCTTTGTTTTGTTTTCTGCCTGGACTACTTATAATTTATTTTTTCCTTACTATCAAGCTGTGGAGTTTTAAAATAAATCAATTATGCTTGGTGCAGCATATACTATTTGTTTTGCAATTTTAGATTTTTTTAAGCTCAAAAATATCCTCAATTTTTCAGAGACTTTTTAAAGGAACACTAGTCTTTTTTTTAATAAATTGAATCGTCTTTCTTTTCTTTTTGAGTTGGAGTCTCACTCTGTCGCCTGACTGGAGTGCGGTGGCACGCTCCCGGCCACCACAGCCTGGACCTGCTGGTCTCCGGTGATCCTTCCGCCTCACCCTTCCAACTAGGTGGAACTACAGGCGCGTGCTACCATGCCCGACTAATTTTTTTTGATTTATTGTAAAGATGAGGTTTCGCCAAGTTGCCTGGGCGGGTCTCGAACCTGCAGACTCAAGCAATCCACTCACCTCAACCTCCCAAAGTGCTGTGATTACAGGCTGAGCCACCGAGACCGGCCTGGATCATCTTTCTTAATTCTTTATATATGCCACCTGTTTGCTCATTATTTTCAACTCTAGATTCTTAAAGATACATTTCAAATTTGTTATTTCTCTGAAAAAGTTCTGCCTTTTATTACTTCTAATGCAAGCCATAATTCTAAGAACGCTTTAATTGTTTCTCTGTCTTCTTTGATATCTCAGTTAGACTTTTTTCACCTTAGCCTGCATTTTGTTTTTGTATTTTGTCTCATTTTTTTGGTCTCCTTTTCTCCCCTAGAATCCTTGCAATTTATTGAGAACTACATACATATACATAGATATATGTGTGTGTTTGTGTGTGTGTGTGTGTGTGTGTGTGTATTGAGTACTGGAAATATGGCTTGTAAACTTAGGAACTGAGTCTTCATATATATGTATATATATATAAAACATAAATATATGTATGTGTGTGTATATATGTGTGTGTGTGTGTGTGTGTGTATATATATATGTAGTGTCTTCTATTTTTTTACTAAACAAATTTAGAGGCATGCTTTTTCTTCACAACTTTGAACAAACTACAGTCTATAGAACAAATTCAGCCCATTCTTTGTTTTTATAAATAAAGTTTTATTGGAACACAACCACACTCATTCATCTCTATATATGTATTGTCCATGGCTGCTTGTACATACCACAGTGTAATTACAATAGAGACTGTATGGCCCACAAAACCTAAAATATTGCTATTTGGTCTTTCATGAAAAACTTTGCCAACCCCTGTGCTATTCTCCTCTTTTAAATCAGTGTAACATAAAGAGAGATATCTTTAAATCCATTGTTTGCCCTCAGAGGACTATAGATTCCACTGTCACTGTTTGCGTTGATAAAGTCACACAATTTAAGTTAGAGCAGCAGGAGCTTACCCATCAGGATACTCTCGGGAGGCAGATGACATTCTCATAATGGTAACTGAGAAAATATTTATTAAGGGATTGTTTCCAAAGGTGTGGAAACGTTTAGGGTTTCCCAAAAGGCATGATGCAACACCCCAAGTTTAGTGTCCATGAGGTACCTTTACTTACCCTAAGCCTGAAGGGTCAAGGGAGGAGGAAAGTGTTATCAGAAGCTAGAGAGAATAGTTTTATGAAGAGCTGCCTGACAAGAGTTATGGTGTTTGACAGAGAAACATCTAAATCACAATAATCAGTAGGGAGGAAGCCAGAGTGACAAATACTCTACTTCATTCTCCTGCCCTAGAATGCCCTGCTAGTGCCCTCCAGTTGCTGAAGTCAACCAGAGACCAGAGAAAAAGGATTCCTTTACCACATCCCATGGCGGATGGGGGCATGGTGCAGAGTAGGGAGGATGAATAAGGGAAAGATATCCATCATCTAGTTTATGTTCACAGGTTCCAGATCAGAGCTGTTAACAGAACTTTCCATGATGGTGGAGATGTTCCCTATTTATGCTGTCTAATATGCTAGCCACTAGCTACATGTGGCTACTGTGTCCTGGAAATATGGTTATGAACTTAGGAACTAAATCTTTAATTTTAATTAATTTACATTTAAATAGCCACACATAGGTAGAGCCTATCATATTGAACAGTGTAGCTGTGGATGAATTTCTATTTTATTTTATACGTTGTCTACAGTGCACTTTGCTGGACTGTCATGGGATCTTTTGTTCCCTGCTTCTTTGAGTGCGAGATTATTTATTTCTGGATATTCTGAAATAGTCTCTCTCTCTCTCTCTCTCTCTCTCTCTCCTTTTGTAGAAGTAATATCTGAAACCTCACAATCTCCAAGAAGCATAGCTTCCAGGCCTCTTTTTATGACTTTGTCAGCCTAATGCCAACTTCATATCCCACCTTGGATCGCTTCCACTTCCCTCCACTGCAGAGTTGTAGTCAGATGATAGTCTCTAAACTGAAGTAGAAAACCATTCCTGGTAGTTTCATGGAGGCAGATTTAGGAAGCTCTTGGAGCATACTTCAGAGTCTGTTTTTTTATTCAGAAAAGATCTCAGGTCTCTGCTTGTGAACTAGGGTTTGACAGTGCCAGCCAGCCTTGATGCTGTGCTTTAGAAGTCAATATGAGCCATTAAGAATGACTTTATTTTCATCAGTTTCTGTTCATGCTACAGTTAGTAAAACTTGCTCAGAATTTGAGACTTGGTTGTTTATGTTTTCTAACCTTGAGAGTATTTGTGTATAGAGTCATCATTTGGTGTCCGTGGGGAATTGGTTCCAAGAACTCCTGCAGTTACCAAAGACTGTGAATACTCAAGTCCCTCATATGTGCATCCTCCTGTATACTTTAAATTATATACAGATTGCTTTTAATACCTAATATAATGTGTGATAAAGAAATAGTTGTTATACCGTATAGTTTTTATTTGTATTATTTTTAGCTGTTGTATTATTAGTATTTTTTGAAGATTTTTTATCCATGGTTGATTGAATTAGTGAATGCGAAGGGCTAAAGCATTTTGGTGGGAGAGGTCATATTAAGAATGGCTATGTGGATTCTGTTAGTTCCAGAGCTTCTCCTTGCCATTTCTTTATGATTATCATTCTTGCTGCTGAAAACAGACCATGATTTTGAATGTGCATAATCTCAGGTCTGATGCAGAATTAATACCACTTGCTTGATTTTCACGCCAAGACATTAATTGCTATTTGTTTTGCATTTGCATTTACAGGTATCTGTGGAGGGAAATTAGCATACTTTGTTGTTAGGCCATTATTAAAATGACAGTTGGGAAAATATTTGAAAAATATTGTCTTTTTTTCTTTCTGTTTTCCTCTCTGACATTGCCCTTATTTTTTTTAAATCTTCTCTGTAGCTTACATTTGTTGCACGATTTTGAAATTCTAGATAAGTAATGGAGAACATTTGTGGACATTGGTACTTACAACACAATCTGTGGTGTTGGAACTGGGATTCCCTAATGACTTTTGCACTTGTGTGCAAACAGGCCAAACCCATTCAGCCATTCAAGGCTGGTGAATCAGAACCACCAATGAAATATTCTTTCAATGCTTAAAGCTTTGGACGGGAACAACTGACACATTTAGCTGGGTGCTTCCCGAAGTCTGGATCTGCCTATAGTTGAGCCGAGAAGGGCAAGCAAAACTAAAATATGGTCTTTTCAACACTGTATTAACAAAGACTCCTGAAAATGGAATTAGAGAACAAAATTCATGGCTTGATGATGCTACTGAGTAACTGAAGAAACTTGGGCAGGTCTCTTTAATCTTATCTGTGAAAGTGGTACTCAACTCAGTGTGTCTTGGTTCAAGTGAGAAGTCGTTCCCTGACAACTCTGGGAAACCATAGACATTTGACAGGTAGCTGCACTTAAAAATTACAGTTTTGTTCTTATTCTGTCTTTTGCTATGAGAGTGAGATCTGGCCACACTTTCATGGGTATCCTTACTCCTATGGCCAGACTACCCTCTGGCCTGGGTCGGTACTACCAAAAGACATTTCCATGTGTGATCATGAGTTCAGTTAAGGAAGATAGTTAAAAGAACCTTTCTTTTAATCAATATTGGTAAAAATTAATTAACTAAATAAATTTATTGAACATTTCTGTTCTTGGTTCCCATCCATTCTTTTTTTTTTTTTTTAACAGTAGCACTTTATTTTTCCTTACACAATGACGTATTGCTGGGGCCTAATGTTCTCACATAACAGAAGAAAACCAAAATCTGCTGTCATCTCTTAAAGAATTAAGAATTGCGTACAAAAACTTTACATAAATTAAAAGGATGAATAAATTTACAGGTGTAAATGCAAACCACTTCCAACTCAATGCAAGTAACAACCCACGGTGTTCTGGCAGGAAAACAGTTAGGAAACTTGGTCCTAAGGCTGGGACCTTTCCAACCCTGTTAGACCAACTGGCAAGACAGAAATGACAACTTGTTCAGCTCTTGTCAATCTCTAGAGAAATCCGGGAATACTCAGCTCTGACACATTAATACCCTGCACAGATCAAAACTCTTGGTCACGCAGATTTACAGATCACAGACTTCTCTTCCATAAGCATGTTCTCACTTCAGCCATGAAGTGACTGAGCCACATGTGTACTAAGGGTTTAAACCAAAGATATGTACAGGGTATTAAACAAATACCAAGGGAACAGTTAACTTGAATACAAGGTCAAAAATCAGCAACAAGTTCTACGATCTGCTGCTGATATCATACAAGCTTCAAGGACAACTTTCTTTTCAAAGGCTTATTCCAGTTTCGTGAGTCTAGGATGAGGTGTATACATTTGCCAGGGCAAATTTATACTTATGAATTAACTCATGCAGCAAATGCTACGCATCTGCTTGCAGTCTGTTTGGAAGCATTTGCGGTGGACAGTGGAGGGGCCCGACTCATCGTACTCCTGCTTGCTGATCCACATCTGCTGGAAGGTGGACAGGGAGGCCAGGATGGAGACACCGATCCTCATGGAGTACTTGAGCTCAGGGGGAGCAATGATCTTGATCTTCATGGTTCTGGGCACCAGGGCAGTGATCTCCTTCTGCATCCTGTCAGCAATGTCCGGGTACATGGTGGAGCCACCAGACAGCACTGTGTTAGCGTACAGGTCCTTGCGGATATCTACGTCACACCTCATGATGGAGTTGAAGGTGGTCTTGTGGATGCCACAGGATTCCATGCCTTGGAAGGAGGGCTGGAACAGCGCCTCTGAACACCGGAAACGCTCGTTGCCACTGGTGATCAGCTGGCCATCAGGCAGCTCGTAGCTCTCCTCCAGGGAGGAAGAGGATGCGGCAGTGGCCATCTCCTGCTCGAAGTCCAGAACAACGTAGCACAGCTTCTCCTTGATGTCATGCAAAATCTCTCGCTCAGCTGTGGTGATGAAGCTGTAGCCGCGCTTCGTGAGGATCTTCATGAGGTAGTCAGTCAGGTCCTGGCCAGCTAGGTCCAGATGCAGGATGGCATGGGGAGGGGGCGTAGCCATCGTAGATGGGCACCGTGTGGGTGATCCCGTCTCCAGAGTCCATGACCATACCAGTGGTACGCCCAGACGCGTACAGGGAGAGCACGGCCTGGATGGCCACATACATTGCCGGGGTGTTGAAGGTCTCAAACATGATCTGAGTCATCTTCTCTCTGTTGGCCTAGGGTTCAGGGGGGTCTCGGTCAATAGCACCGGGTGCTCCTCGGGGGCCACACGCAGTTCGTTGTAGAACGTGTAGTGCCAGATCTTCTCCATATTGTCCCAGTTGGTGACGATGCCATGCTCGATGGGATACTTCAGAGTCAGGATGCCTCGCTTGTTCTGGGCCTCATCGCCCACGTAGGAGTCCTTCTGACCCATGCCCACCATAACGCTCTGGTGTCGGGGACGCCCAACAATAGAGGGGAACACAGCTCGGGGAGTGTTGTCCCCTGCAAAGTCAGCTTTGCACATGCCAGAACCATTGTCAATGATGAACGCGGCGATTTCTTCTTCCATTGCGATCAGCAGAGATGCGGGGTGGAGGGGCCACAGGAGAACACAGAGCAGCAGCGAGTGAGACCCAGGAAAGTACATTCTAGTACAGTTCAAAATATACGTATTTTCCTCAAAGCTGGGAAGATATGAATTGGTTAATTAATGAATTCATTCATTCATTCATTCATTCAGCAACCATTTGTTGGGCCTCCTATGTACTAGGTCCTAGGCCAGGCGCTTGTAATTTGAAAGTGAACAGGATAAGATCTCTGTCCTTAAAGTTACCAAATTCCTCATGTCCTGTGCATATGAATCCTTATGGTGTTCTCATGCATTCAGAGTTCAGGACATTCTCAGCTCTAATCAGTCATCTGGATTTTGAATCTGCTTTTTGAACAAGACCAAGGATAGAGAAGAACAATCTGAAAACGTTTCTCTGGGAAATCCATATGCAGCAGGGGACGCATATATACATATATACATACACTCAAACACACACGGTTACATACAAACACACACACACACACATATATACACCTGCCCACATCATCATCACACACACATAAATATGCAATCACAACCATCTATACACACACAGACTAAATCAGTGTGGGGCAACCAGAAGATATTTTTCAGAGTAGGATTTCAACTGCTTGGGGGAAGCAGACTCCCTACTTTTCCCTAGTCAGGCTCAGCTGGGCTCCCTCCTAGATTCAGTTAAGATTTTCCTGTCCCCAGCAGTGAAGCTTGGACATACACTGTCATTCACAATCCTGAAGTTTCAGTAAAATATAAAGTTCACTCCCCCACAAATGTGCACACTTTATATGAAAAATACAGATACACTTAAATTACGAATTATACCGTAGATTGACTTCCTTATCAGTAAATCTCTTGAAAGAAACCCACTTCAACTTACTGTATTATTTCACATTATTTTGGCATATCATCATTTGTATAACAATATATTATCTTTGGATACAATTTTAGTAATAGTTATTATCTACTGACTATTTATTAAATACTATTTACTAAAATTGAAATTTTACTCTGTTACAAGCACCGTGTAAAGTACTTTTCATGCATCATCATATGTAAGTTTTGCAGCAAATTCATAAAGTATTATTATTTTTCCCATTTTACAGCTGATGCAACTGAGGATTAAAGTTAAATGTCTTGCCCAAGGTAGCACATTAAGCAATGACATTCTAATTTCCTACTTATAAATGGCACTGAAATGCCCATCTTTGGACAAAAGTTATGAGTCATGTGCATGATTATTTCCTTACAATCAATTCCTGCCCCATCCTGGGCAGAACCTGTTCTCTGACCTTGTCTTCTTTCTCACTTGCCTTCATTATCCCAGGATCCCAGAGTTTTCCAGGCTCCACTAACGCCATTCTCCTCCATCCCTGCGTTGCTGTGACCACCTTTCTGCTGCAACATAGGAAAGCAGGTCTGGGCTCCAGGGACTCCCCTTCTCAGCCACTGATGTCTCCTGATGTCTCTTTGGGCAGCCACATGTAAAGGCCAATAAGATCAGGTCAGGGTGACACTGTGACAAGGTGTCAGCACCTATGGCTGTACCTGGATCTTGACAGGCATCTGAACAAACTTTCTCTATGACTCCTGGGTAGTGACTGACAAACAGTATCAGTCACCAGAACAGCAGGGCCAAAGCCAGAAGGAAATGTTAAAGGCAGCTGTGAGAAAGCCCCCCAGGCCACCTGCCACTCTGAGCCCCAGGGACACTGGCAGCAGGGAGACCTTTATGGGAGGAGGCCGTAGAAACAGGGGTCACCTTTACAGAGTAAGAACTCAGTTAATGCTAAATGCTTGTCTTCACTCCAGGGGAGGTGGCATTTCACAGGGCAGTTGGAGAATATTTGAGCTGAGAAAACTGTCATGTGGTTCAGAGCCAAGAGACATTTACTAAGCACTGACTGCCTGCCACTGTGCCCAGCATTTGAGTCCACGGCCTCATGTGGGATGCTGAGGAGGAACGGATGGAGAAATGGAATGTGGGGGCCCCTGGAGCATTTTGCTAATTGGGATCATTTGTCTTCCTGCAAGTTTCAGGTCCTCATTTGGACTTGGCTGGGGATTCTGTGGGCAGGGGAGAGGTAAGGGTGTTGGGGGAGGAAGTTGTTGTGAAATTAATTCTCGGCCTCTCCTCTCTGGAATGTCAATAATGTGCTGAGAACAGTGGGGAGTGCAGTTGACTGCCAGTCCCCTTTCAATCTGCTCTCAGAGCCTCTGAACCTCCAGGTAGTTCTGGGACTTCTAGGTCTTCCATCCTGTGACATCCTGTTTCTTGTATGCCAATCCCCTTTTAGAGAATCTTCTTAGCTTCCCTGCTTCTATCATCCTCCAGGAGGCTTGATTTGCCTGTTGCTAGTATTTCCTCTTTAAGACTCTCACAGGTCACTGGACAGGATATCAGCTATTGGTGACAAAGCTCATCTGAATCTGGTCCAAATGGCAATACTTTGGCTAATCAAATAGGCTAGTAGCCTGACCACCCTGCCCAAGGCCCACTGCATGTTAATGTCATCTTGTTCCAGTCCAAGTCCCCTCTCTGTTTCCACAGCCAGCAGCTGAACTGGCAAGGTAACTGAGCTTTTATGTTACCATGCACTGGAATGCTCAGCAACTGAGTTCAATATTTCACATTTAGATTTGTCTCAAATTTATGTAGGCTTGTGTTTATACAGGCTTATGGTAGGAAAAGGCCTTTACATGGTCAAGTCAAATGAACCCGTTTTATGGGTAGGGTAGCTGCAATGCAGAGAACTCAGGTGACTTACCTGAGATCACACAGCCAGGTGGTCAGTATGGAGCCAGGAGTGTCTCTTAAACCAGTGCTTTTCAGTTTTGCCATGAGGGCAGGCACACCCAGCTTTAGCCTCTGGGAAGCCCCATTGACCTCATTTGCCTGGGAGTGAGCATGGGGTTGTCAGGTTCTAGGTCTATAGACAAGTGACTGCAGGTGCTTCCCCCTATGGCTAATGTTTCTAGAAACAAGAGAGAAAGGTATATGACGACATGGGCACTCTTCACCTTATGTGGGAGAGTGTTCTAGTCCTCTGCTCCAGGAAGCTCTGAGCTGATGACTCAGAGAGGGAGGTACTCACAGAGAGAAGCTTCTGAGATGAGGGACCCAAAGGACTTTGAAAATAGGGATAGCAAGCTTGGGACAAAGAAGGCTGTTCTCATTCTGTTTGGTATCTATGAGTGAGATGATAAGGGCATCTTCAAATTTACATGTTATTAAGTACCAGAGTCAATTAATCAATATAGCTATATATCTTTTTTATTATAAAATTAATACAAGCTTAGAACATGCAGAATACATAAAAGGAAACACCATATTTTTGGCACATGGAGAAATAGTATTAAGTTGTAACTACGTGCTCACGGTTTTCTATATAATGTTTTACCCAGTGGAGCTCATACAGGGTCTACCCTTGTATATCTTGCTTGTTTCCCTTAACAAGCACATTCCATGTTATCATAAGTTCTTTTCAACAACCTCCCTTTTGGATGCATGATGTTTCATTATTTTTTTTAGTGATTCAATCAGTATTAGACAGTTGGGTTATTTCTAATTTTTTCACATAATAACGTAAAACTTTTACATGTAAATATCTAATAATAATTATTATACCACAATAGCTATCAGAGATCATAATGCTGCTAAACGTTTTTTAGAAGAAATTTCTAGAAATGGAGGACAACTTGATCAAAGGCTGATGAAGTTCCTAATATGCTGCCAAATTCTTTTCTGAAGGGATGGTTTTAATTTTTTATCCCACCAACCCTATCTGAGAGGCACATGAAGGGGCACCTGACAGACACCAGTGTGCAGGGATCAGGTGCGGGGCTCAGAGCCTAGGCAGTCCAAGTTTGCACTGCAACATCTCCAGCTACCAGTCGTGCAGGCTAAGGCAAGTCATTTCATCTCTGTTTTTACTTTTATAAGATAAAGATGTTATAGTACCTCCTTTGTAGGGTTGCCTCAAGAATTAACTGTTATTGCATGCAACATGCTTAGAGTGGTGTGCATAGTAAGCTCTCAACAACAACAACAACTAGTAGTAATAATATTATAGTAATTGCCAAAGTCTCAAGGACCCACGTACTTGGCTCATGCTCCTGGCTGACACATGGAGGAAGGACTGACCCTGTGCTCAGCTGGAGTCAGGGAACATGCCCTCTCTTTGTACATTCTGCTGAACAAATTCTTATAATTTAATCATGACTTTTAATGTTTGAAATGGTGGCTTTTACATTTTACTGAAGCACCATTGCCGTCTGCTCTGTGTTATACTCTCTGTTTATATTGCAATGCAAATTATTCCTGGTGGAGAGTTTACAAACTGCACTTCCATTATTAATAGGGTTATGATTTCCCCCATTCCACTCTTATCTCTATTGCTTGTGTAATACATAATTCATGCTCACTACCCTTCTCTGGTCTCAGTGCCAGGACACTGCAGTCTCTCTCCCTTTTCCCGATGACAGTAATTGGTATTCAGTGAGAGCATAATGACCATGTCCCTAGCTTTAGCTCTCTCTTAAGGTGTTCCCTGGAAGGGCTCACTCACAGGGGTAACAGAGGCCCTAGACCATTTATGGCCAATCTTGAGTTCCGATTCCATTTGAGCTTTGAATTCCAGGTGGACATGTGTAGGGCTTCCCAGGGCCCTAAAACAGAATTTTCCAGTCAGTATGGAACAGAAGGTTGCTGGAGGGCTGAAGTGGTAGGGAGAGGGATCAGTGCAGCCTGCACCAGCTGGCTTCTCACTAGTGTGGGTTGAGGGTGTTTGTGGAAAAGAGAGAGCCTTGGTCTTCACCTCATACTTGCTGAATACCCCTTCCTGTCGTTGAGCAAGTAGGTGGTTTTCTTTTTTTATAATCCCAGTTTGAAGTTTGAGCCCCTGCTCTAGATCTGTCCACTGAAAATAGACACTGAAGTTTGGTCCCATAAGAAAATCCCAGGATGGGGTAGAACAGCCATG